GGCATCCCAACACAAAGCTGCTTCATCTCAAAGCCTGGTTTTTGCATGGGTGTTGTCCTTAAAGCGGTCGTGTGCTGAAGCTGGGCAGGACATCCTTTCCAGTAGTAGGAAGGATCCTATTAGGACATGTTACCTTGCCAAGTGGAGGCCTTTCTCTGCCTGGGCACATCAGATGTTTCTCCAGAAGCCACAGATAAATATTCCTCTTGTATGGGACTTGAAAACAGTGGATTTCAATGCTGCCAAGTGGACCTGTAAGGAACTAAAGTCAGTGCCTACTATCCATCTTTACAGAGCTTCGTCATCTTCCCACATCTTCTGACTAACAGGTTCAGGAAAAGCCTAATTAGAACCTTTTTCACCTAGAAAAAAACCTGCTTCCGAATGGAACTTGAGCCTTGTTCTCTCAGTACTGACCAGTCCTGCTTTTGGAACTATCCAAGAAGTTGCTTCCTTGGTAGCCATCATCTTAGTCAGGAGAGTTGGTGAGCTGGAGGCATTGACGGCAGATCCTGCATATGCTCTATTCCCTGAGCACAAGGTTTTCTTATGTAGATATCCTAAATTCACCCCCAAAGTAGTCTGGAGGTCTTTTTGAGATATGATCTTGATCTGTATTCTGCTCCTTCCCCCTCTTCTTCTGCTTCAGATCTTCTCTGGCTTGTGGTGGAAGAGAAACTGGAAAGGCTGTCAGTCCACCCCGCTCTCATGGGAGAGCATGTGTGATCACAGTGGAATGCAGATACATACCACACATCTCCAAGAATCCTCTTACAAATCAAAGTGGCAATTTTATGCTAAAATAGTTTGTTTTAAATTTAAGAAAATGTATTTTCATGTAAGTCTTTAAGTTTTGAGCATGGAGTAAATCATCAGACAATTTAAATGCCAAGTGAGTGATTTATAATAACAAATATAGGTTCCAAACATTCAAGACTGCAAAGTATTACCTTGTTTGTATTTTTCCTTTCTTTGTTTTCTGCACTTTATGTGAATGGTTCTGCCTTTCTGCCAGATTGTAGGGTCCAGAATGCCTCTTGTATTTGTTTTGCACAGAGCCAAACATTTCGCGAGTGCATCCCTGAGTTTTGAGTCCAATATCAAAGGCTATGCTTCAATAGGGGAAAAGAGTGGAGAATCAGACCACCTATATGCGTATGATTTTTGCACAATCACTCTGTTCCGTATGAGGTAGCTGTTTACATTCATATAACTGCTTTTCCTTGGTTTGAGCTAAACTTGCTTGGTGTGCATAAAATTAAACTTCTGTGGTGGGACGACAGGGATCAAATGCTTCTTGAAATGTTTAAAGTAATTGGAAAAATCAGAGATCTTTGTAAACTCTATGGGGCATGGACTGTAACTTCCATTGTTCTGTTTGTCACGGTAGGCACAAACTGACGCCAGGCCCCAATATGATGGAGGTAAGAATGTGAAATGTATGATAAAGCTGGCTCATGATATTGTATAAGCATCTCAGTTGCATTCATTAGTAATTATCATAATTGTAATTAGGTGCATAAACTACAACTCAGTTTTTAAAGAGATGCTGGATATGCCTTTTCTGGTGGGTGACTTGATGGAAATGCTTATTAACAGGCATGCTATAAAGGTTGTTAGATTCAGGATCCGTTTTCTTTCAGGTAGAAATTTGTTCTTTAATTGTTGGTTTGCTTAACACCTTTTTCTGCAGCCCTCTTAAAAGACTTAACCTGTCTAGTTGAGCAAAACAAGCCTGGTGGAGTGCGTATAGACTTTATGGCTAAACTTAAATTGTGAGTGCTTTGGGGTCACAGTGATATTGTCTAAGTGCTGTACAATTTCGATAACGATTTAAGTGCCTTTTTCCCAAAAGAAACAGTATTTGAGAAGAGATGATAGCTTGGAAAAAAGCTACATTGCCAATCCCAAGCATTCTGAAATCATGAATAGGCCACAAAAGACCATGAGATTTGGGGGGGGGGAATTGGAGGAAAGCAAGAGGAAGTCTCTCAATTTGCCTCCTAGTTAACTTTTAGAATTTGTTTTTAAGCTTCCCTCCATACCTATGAGAGCTAGAAAACAGCAATTTTTTTTCTCACTGAGCAGTGAGATTCTCTTGTAATCACAACACTCCAGGAGCAGGGGCTTTAAGAAAAGCACCACGTCTTGCAAAACTTGCAAAGTAGCATTGAGAACTGGCAACAACACTGGAGTCAGGCATTTTAAAGGAAGTCCAAAGTACACATGTGGGATTTGCATGAAACTATAGCTAGCCTTTCAGGGAGAACTGAATGTTACTAACACACTTCTGAGGGGCTTTTAAACACAGCTAGGGACATGGCTAAACCCAAATGTGAGATTTAATGGCTTGGGTAAAGTTGTGTAGCAAAATGCTCCAGTGAAATCACTTATTAAAACAAACTTCAGAAGTGTGTAGTGACTTGCTGTGAAATTTCTGAACCAGAATTTCAGAACTTGCACACATCAGCTTGCTTTCAAATTCCTGTGGGCCTTGCTTGCTTATTTGATTTGAAAACAAGGGTCTAGGGATATTTTCTTTTATTTCCTTCCTCCATCATTGTTTCCTATACAGAGTTTTAATATTCAGACATTTTATCACCCTACTCCTTCTAAAACTCTTTGAGCTTCTTTTCTTTCTTTACACAAAAGAATGCTTTTGGCTGATTGAGTTCCATCCATGGCCAACTGTGGGTTCTTTTGTTTTGTTAGTCCAGCATCCTTTATAAAACGAGGACCATTGAGCAAGTACTCACAGACTCCCCACTGAGCATGACTGTGCTTGAAAGGTGTGGTACTGTACTTGTGTAACATGTAAAGCTTTAGTTAGAGGCTTTTGAATGCATTTCAGTAGCTACCTTTTTGCTTTGTGAAAAGTAGTGGGATTGTGCTTGAGATAATAAATCCACCTATTTTCAGTTTGGCGTGGTTGTGACAAGTGGGTGAACAAAGAACTAGCTGAATGCATTTTCTGTTGTGTTGAAACCAGCCAAAAGTTCCCATTCAAGTGGCTTTCAGTGCAGTGTAGCTAACAGGCAATTTTCTGTTTTATGTACACAAATCTTCTAGAAAGACAGCTGTGCTTAGTTTTGATTAATCTGTAGTAGAAATCTGAATAAAGCTGACTAGAGAACAATTTGGGGGTTCAAGAATCCCTTTCCAAAAGCATAAATAAGTTTGTTTCCTTGTTTGAACTGAAGCAGTAACCAGTATCTACCCTAAGACTTAAAGGGCTAGGTAGCAAATATTTTTTCTTCAGTCTGTAGATAGCATCTATAAATAGGATTCACCATCTATAACTAGGATTCAAGTATCCTTAAAACATTTTCTTGTTGAATTGCATTATTGAAATTCACTGGTTTTAAATCAAGTGTAAATATGAGTGAAGCTCACATTCGCTCTTCATATATAGGATACTAGCACATTTACCCAGTATTGCTCAGGTCCTTAAGGAAAGGGGGCTGAAAGCGTGGGGGGTGCAGGAGTCCAGGGTTAGGGGAGGAGGGCTCTAGATGAGGGACTGTGTGTAGGGGTGTGGGCAGAGAGGGAGGAGAGCAAAGTGCCCTCCCTCTCCCCCCTCTGTCCCTGCCCTAGATTTGTACCTGGCTGCTTGCTCTTCCCCTTCCTGTCCCTGTCAGGGAGCGAGAACAAAGTGCACAGCATGTTTGTCCCCAGTAAGTTAGGAATGCAGACAAAAGGGAGTAGTCAGTAATGTTCCTGTAGGGATCTGGGTTGGAGGGAGCTTCAACTGCCCCCCACCCACATCCCTGCTCAAAGGGTATGTGGTGGGTAGGAAGCTCGGAACTGGGGCTGTAGTTAGAGGGATCCTTAATCTTTGTCCATATGGATTCAACTTAGTGTGTGTGCCCCTGATGCATGGGAGATCAGAACCTTTTGACACGAGCGTTTTTTGGGGCTATGCCTGTGCCCTGCATCTCTGTGTGCATTCCCTCCCGCCTCCTCCCTTCCGCCTCCTACCCACGCTGTGTCTCCCTTCCCCCATGAGGGCATAAGGGGAAAAGCAGCCTCCACCGCCTCTCACTTCACTCCTACACCCTATGGCAGCAGGACAGAGCTCAACAGCATGTGTGCTAGCTCCCAGGGTTCCATTTGTAGAGTCACTATTTGGTTACTTTGCTTAGATTAGTGACCACTTTCTACTTTCTTTCCTACAGCTCCATTACAATGTATTCTTGCTTCTACTTGGTGCCGAGGTGCCTTTTCATCTACAGGGCAAGATTTAAGCGCCTCCAGGTTCAAGCCATGCCTTTCACGGGATGGACTTGCTGATTGTATCCCTAAGCTAAAGAGCATCTACTCTCTGTGAGAAAGAGTAGTGTGCTGCTGATTTTTACTTAAACCAAATCAAATTCCTATTCTTTCCCTCAAGTCTCACTTAAGCCTGGGATAAACCAAGTTCTTTAGTTTTAGATATTTCATGAGCCTTTATTATTTTAATAGAATAAAGCCATTCAGGAAGTCAAACTGTTTATGGCATTAGGGAATACTGTAAAAGGTCAGGTTGTCTCTTCCCAGAGATCCAAATGGATCACTCAGAAAACTGGTCTTCTGCTGCCTAGTAGATCTGGCCTTCTCTTGGTTTTCAGGGCCCACTCAGCTAGAAACCAGGCAACCTTTTTAGTATGCCTTAGAAATATTTATGTATAGGTCTCTTCAGGGAAGCCATTTGAAGCTCAGCTCATACCTTTGCCAAACATCATGCCCTAGATTAGGTGACTAGGTGAGATGAAAAATTGAGAGCAGAGGTTCGGCAATTCTTATTTGTCTAGCTGTAGCTAGGATTCCAGACACTCATATTAAGCTGGAAATTGCTAGCTAGACATTGTGAGATCAACATGGACAAAACATCTAAGAACTGCAATTGCTGCATGTTAAGTAACTGTTTATTTCCCAATGGATCTCATTTGCAGAGTTGCTATAAATTCTCTCAATTCTTTTACCTGTCTTTTCTGTAAACATATATATTTTTTTAATTACAGACTCTAAAAAATTCAAAAAGCCTTTGCTCCCTTGATTATGAAGATGATGATGACGACGACACACAAATGAAAACAATTGTGTCATCCCCATGTGACTCACATGACTTTATGAACATCACCACCCCTGGTTCCAGTCCAGTGAAAGAGCAACTGAATGAAGTAAGGCATCATGGGTCATGCCAAGCAGGCTTCAATGCAAGGGATTACAAGAAGGCAGCTGCAGTGTGTGAAACTGATGAGGACACAAGTGATTGTGAGAGCACTGAAGAGGGCATCTTTCCGCTAGACTGCGGGGACTTGGATCTAGAGCAGATTGAAAACAACTGAGGCTCAAAGTTGTGTACTAGAATCAGAGTTCTAAATTTAAATTAGTGGATTACCTTTGCAATGCATAATCCATGTCCCTGAATCTCTGTATTGCCTATCATGGGCCTGTGTTAGAAGAAATGTTTCAGGTGGGGGAAAAAGGAACCATTATTACCTGTTTATAGTCTATTGATCAGTATATGAACAGCAAAAGATGACTGGTGGTTAAATGTTATTTTGAACATTGAGTAACTTTGATTACAAATTTCCTAACAGATATTTTGCATTTTTATGGCTTTTACAGTTCTGGAGAAAGGATCTCTATTTTGAAATGAATTTTCTGAAGGGCATTCTATAAAACTAAATCTGTCTACAGTGATTCTGGTGCGGGTATATGTTCCATTTGTTAAAGAGCTTAATGTGAAAAGTGAGTTGCATAATTAAATTGGTAATAAACCATTGGATATCTGGAGGTCTGAACTCTTAAGTATCTGGTTGACAATTGGTCCAAAATACTTAACTGTCTCCTTATACAGTGAGTGGTTATAAAAGTTCATAACATGTACAAATGGTTTTTCATACATTCAAGACTTTTTGATCAAAATGTAGTAGTGACCTTAAAGGTTAACATTTTCCATGATTTTACTACTTGAATTGTTTTTCTAGCCTGAAACAATGCTAATTTAGGTGGGATAAAACTGCAAGTAGCTGCCCACCTTCTTGGTCATCATTATGTTTTCTGTGGTTCAAAAGAATGTACAAGAGCACTTGAACTTTTAAGCAGGGACTTTGTAATGATCAATTCCCCAGGAGGTGATCCCTTCAGCAATACTAGAAGGAAGCTAGTCCTTGAATTAAATAAAATGACATTTTGCTTTACATTTGCATGTGTTTGTGAATTTTATTGGTTGATATTTGAAGTCTTTGGCAAGCATTCTAGTGTGGTATCTCAAACATGGGGATGTAGTTTTGGATTATTCAGATTGAGGGATTTCAGAGATAATGGTATTTTTCACCACTCTTCAAAATGTAATACTAAATTATTAGTGACCATTATAACACACAATTATGAATGTGGTTAAAGTGAAGGAATTGTCTACAAGTAAGGGGGATTAGTTTGGGGACACTTACATTAAATGGAGTTGGGGAAGATTGAAATTAGTTATGGAGTCATTCAAGTAATAAATGGTGTGGGACTGCTTAAATAAAGCTGAATCTAGCTAATGCATTGCAATGGAGATTTCAGACCCTTCTACTAGATGTCATTTTAAGCAGCCTTAGTGGTACAGGGGAAAATGAGAACATCAGTAAATGTGGTGCCACAGTGGCACTCCACTGGATTGGAGCTCACTTCAAAGAACTAACCAACTGAGATGTCTAGGGTGCTTATACAAAATTAAAGCAGCATGGGTAGTGTAGAAGTGGAAGTCATTTTGTATACGCAGTGCATGCCACATGCCAACCTTGCTGCTCTCGCAGATGTGGAAGTATAAGAACTGCAGCACAGGTATATGATGCATACAGGAAAGACCTTTTTTGCACATTACAGGCAGTCCCCGACTTACGCAGATCCGACTTACGTCGGATCCACACTTACGAACGGAGCTTTCTCGCCCCGGAAGTCGGGGCGAGAAAGCCCCGTTCGTAAGCTGCTCCGGTGCCCCTGGTCTGCTGGAGACCGTCTCCAGCAGACCAGGGGCACCGGGC